CTGTCAGATTAAATCTATACTGGACCCAACTATGCAACATCCCCACTATGCCGCGACCCCACTGTGCTGGGTTTTTTATACTAACTTACACAGTAAAATCATATCAGTAAAATAATTTTTTTTTAATGATTATAGACCAATATATACTTTACTGAACCTAAAATTTAAATTAGATTTTTTTAATCACTCCTTTTTGAAATTATTACTAATTAGAAATAAATAAAAAAAAATTAATAACAATTTTTTTTTAACAAGTTATTAATGAATTTTAATATGTTTCAAATAATCTTATTTTTTTGATCTTTTAAAGTTGATTCTTATGAAATTTTATAATTTTAAAATGCTCAAATTTTAAACACAATTTTAGCTAAACTTGCTAGTTTAGAATTTATATCATTAAATAGAAAATTTTATTTAGAATAAAATGTCCTATTTTTTAGATTGATATGTGATCAGAAACTTATTTAATTACTATTGACCGTAATTTTCGAGGAATATTCTAAATTTCGTTAAAAATATTTTATTAAAACAAATTGTTTAAATAGAAGTCATACTTAGCATTTCTATGCAACACTTGGTGTTTAAATAATTCTTTATATTGTATATTTATTGTTAGTTTTGCAATTGGAATAACCAACTTATTTCTGAAAATGAAACACTACCTATAGGTTCGCATAGAAGCATTTCTTATGATAACGATTATTATCCCTGTCAGAATACTTGTCCCAACTATGCGACGTCCATACTGAGCCGCGACCCTATTGTGCTACCGATTATTATACTAGTCATACTACTTAATTTTTTCAGTAAAATGATAATCTGTGATAATATTTAATTATTTACAAGGATAGAAATAAACTACTCTGATCATTGGATATCAATACAATTTTGTTCAATATTGGTGTAAATATTGAATTAAAAAGAAACCCGATGTCGCTATTGACCGATATTTAATATCAAATTGCATATTAACCCTACCCTAATTTGGTTGTATCTATTAAGTCTAGTAGATGCTACAAAATTGGAACTAAAGACGTAAAAAAATGAAAAAAAAAATATGTTTACAGCTCTGTGTCAAAACTAACAATATTAGTAGTATTTTAAAAAGGAAAAGTTAAATGTTACTTTAAAAGTTTTTTTTTAATTATTTATTAACACTTAAACGCAGTTATCAATTTTACTTTATATGTATTAAAAATAAAATCATCTTTCAAAAACAGGGTATTCAATTTCTTCATCAGAATATTCCGTTTCTTTCTCATAATATTGATTTTGATCCTCATAATATTGATTTTGTTCCAGTTCCTGTTCTAATTTAAGATCTACGCATTTATTACAAAATTGAAGTATATAACCTGTTTCTAAATAATTTTCACAGTTTACATTTTCACATTTACGTGCTAAATAAAATTAAAAAAAAAAATTACAATAACTTATAAGTGATATTATAATTAAATTNGTTCCTGTTCTAATTTAAGATCTACGCATTTATTACAAAATTGAAGTATATAACCTGTTTCTAAATAATTTTCACAGTTTACATTTTCACATTTACGTGCTAAATAAAATTAAAAAAAAAAATTACAATAACTTATAAGTGATATTATAATTAAATTAATTTAAATTAAAATTAAATTAATAGCTTTATTGTATATATATATATATATATATAACATCGTTACCTAGACAAGGCTTAGAGTACCATGGTAAATATCTTATCAACCACGCAATCTCTTGCCACCTTTTGTTTTCTCTATTCAACAATTGGTGGTTTTGAACAAATCATACGTGATATCATGAGGAGAGATACATGGTATAAAACCCACTAACACATTTTTTTTTACCAATTTTTAGCTTCTTATTAAAAAAAATATCTAAAATAACTCAACGAAAATTAAAAAATATATTTTCATTAGTAACAGAGAGAAAATTGTATAATTTTTCATTTTGATTAACTATTACTAACTCAATTATTCATGTGAAATGGGAAATGGCTGCACGATTTTTTGGCTTTTAAGCTAGTTTCTTAATTAAGAGTCTTCAACAATCAGCTAAAATTTCTGTTGAATATCTATTTTGATATCGTTTTTCAGAACCAAAATTTATCTATTATGATAATTATAATCTATTATTTATATATTATTATTTCACATTATATCTATCCATATAAATTTTCATGAGCATTGTTTATTTTTATTTAGATAAATTTTAGCTTTGAAAAAATGGGTTGTTACAATTCTTTAAAGCTATATTACATTACTACTGAAGTTTACCAGCCTTCTCCAAATAGTGATAATTATTATAATAAAATAGATGATCGTATTCTCCAAGATATCTAACATTCTGAAAAACGATATTCAACAGAAATTTTAGCTAATTATAAACTAACTTTAAGCCAAGAAATAGTCAAACAAATCCTTTTTTACAGCTTACTTAAATAATCGATATTGCTATAATTAATTAAAATTTAAGTTTATTCGTAGTTATAAATTTATATGAACCTATTTTCATGTAACATTTGAATATCAAAATTTAAGTATTTGCATACAGACCCAAATTTAGAGGAAAGGGCAAAGGGGAGTCATGTTCTATAAATCATGATCTATAAAAAAAAGAACCCAGTCTTCTATTTCACCTAATTGGTAAAATAACTTTAAAAAGTTTAAAATTATATTATTATTAATTTTTTTTATTCATATCACTAATGATTAACCAATTTTATTTTATTTTTGAAAATCATAGAACATAGAAAACTATTAAATTTGTTAATAAAAATTATAATATATTTTTTTCTCTTAAAGATAATGCATGTAAATTCATAGTTAAAAAAATATTCTGTACAATATTCAGAGCAATTATGCAGACTAATATATATATATACAAAAATGTCTCTGATTTGTAAATCAGTCTTTCATGCCATACTCGGTCGTAGGCCTTTGAGATATCGAGAAAAGTGCAGGTACAGTAGAATTTTGTTCAACTACAAAAGAAACTGAGTCATCCAGTTCATATACTTGGTTGATAGTTGAGTGCATCGCACGAAAACCAAATTGATAGTCATGTAGAATTCTATTATTATTTATAATAGGTAGTATGCGCTTAAGTATGAGTCTTTCTAGAAGTTTTGCGTTTTTATCAAATAAAATTTATATTTTTATACAATACGATTTATAGAGAGCACTAACATCATTTTTCTATTAAATAATGATTTTTTTTTATAAAAATGCAGTGAGCAATTTTATTTCTATTTCTTTGAACTATTATAAATATTACGTTTATAGTAAAATAATACTATATTTAAAAGTAATTTTGAGGGTTAACTTTTGAAAGTTAAATGTTAGTCTAAAATATATATTTTGTTTTATCCCTGACTGTACTGTAATATTGAGTATAATTAGGTATAATAATACACGTTTATATTATTCATATTGATTATATTATCAGAGTAATAATATTCGGATAGATTCTATTTTTAATATTTAATATTGTTTGTATTTAGTATATTGATTTCTGCAGTATTTTAATACAGAGTGATTTTTAAACTATTGACAAGGTCCTGCGCGTCATCTTTCTCAGATGTCGCCCTACTATGGCCATTAGACGGTTTGACTGACCAACACCCCGTGCCATCCACCACAGTTCAAAGTTCAGCTACGGCGCACGGCCTACGACGACCCGCCGCAAATGATATATCGAGTCTTCTTCCCGTCGACAAAGTGACGACGTCGAAGATGTACGCGACCGGATCTAGAGGTGTCGCACGACCAAACACGACGAACCGATCAGCACCCGCGCGACTTCAACGCTGCTAACTTTTTTGACGCCTGTGGATCATGCCGGACACCGCGTTGCAGACGGCAGCAAAAGTGCCGCCAAAATTTTAATTAATTGTGTTATTTTTTACAGTTCTTTTTGAAATAATCTGTTGATTCTCATCATTAATAAACAGCCCGCGAGTCTCTACCACCAAAACCAGTGTCGACTACATTATTGCGACGTAAGTCATGTCACTATGTATGCATTATCATTAAAAGAATAAAAAATAGTATAATTGTTTATTTTGATAAGTATTAGTATTCTACATTTAATGATTTTCAAAAATAAAATTGGTCCTTACTCTCCTCATTCTATATTAAAATTGTGTTAACTTCTGTTTTTTAAATAGAATCTTATAAGGTTAGCCAGTTTTCAAATAAGATAATAATCTAACTACGAAAATCACTGGTCTTCAACGACTTATAAACTAACATTTGTAAGCTATTAACTCTTGATTATTGTGATTGAAAGTAAAACGCATTTTTTTAAAATTTTGGACATTTATGAACTACATTACTATTATTTCTGTGCATTAAAAATGCTTATAACTTCTAAAATACTAGTATAAGAGTTGTTATCCACTGATTGTTTTACCAATTAAAATATTATATTATTTTTAACCTAGTTAAATACATATGATTCCGTTTAAAAAATAAATAGTCGTAAAAATTTAATGGGGAGGAGAGGTAATTGACCAATTTTTTATTTAATCATAGTATGTATAATACTAATAAGAAATTATTTGGTAAAAAAAAATTATAATATATTTTTACTTTTAAAGATAATACGTGTAAATTAATAGTCAAACAATCTTTCTGTATAATATTCAGAACGATTATGCAGACCAATACACAGTTACATATGTAAATATACTGGTCATATACATTATATATGACGAAATTATCTCTAAGTGTATCTATCAAAGGTTTGTTTTGGGGAATACGAGGAGGTTATGTATCCTGAAGGACAAATAAATATACAATTTGCAATAAAGAAATATTCTTAAGCTATTTATTATTTTTTTATATTTACGTTTTTCACAGCATGAACAATTAGAACACAAATTCAGACCGGGTTGTGCTTCATTTTCACATTCGTCACATTTCTCTAAATTAAATTGAAAAATATATAATTGTGATTATTTAAATTAAAGTCTATGTTCTATATACCTTAACCCAACCTACTAAATTTATTTTTATCATATTTATCAACTATAGCAAATATCAAGTTTTTTTTAAGCAAATTATACACGAAAAAATATTTAGTTGAAACAACCTTTTAAATAATTACGATCTTATAAATCCTCATACAAAAACTCATACATATTATAATATTTAGAGAGATTATGCGGTCAATATACATTATATATGACGAAATTATCTTTATGTGTATTTATCAAAAGTGTAATTAAATGAGTACGAGGAGGTTATGTATCATAAGGGGCAAATAATTATACAATTTGCAATAAAGAAATTTTCTTAAGCTATTTATTATTTTTTTATACTTATTTAATTATAACTAATTAATTAACTTACTTTTATCAATTTCATTGTGGGCACATGTATAACACCAATTCCAATCTGGTAGTGCAATATTTTCACAGATTTGGCATTTCTCTAAATTAAATAAAAAATATACTTCTTTGATTATTTAAACTAAATTCTTTGTTCTATACATTAACTTAACTTACTACATTTATCAACTATAGTAACTATAAAGTTTGTTATAAGCAAACTACACACGAAAAACATATTTAGTTGAAACAACCATTTAAATAATTACGATCTTACGTTTCAATCCACCATAAACCCATACATATAAGATATGTGCCCTCTAAATCTGTACCAGACTGTATTTTTTTAATTCCCAAAATTATATTTATTTTACAGGAAATTGAGTGAATTATTATAAGCAAATTACTTAGTGTGTCAATAAATTTATCAGATACTATTAGTTTTCTTACTAGGGTCAGTGATAGCCGTCCAAGTCGCTGCTGATATTCCCACTATAAAATAAAAATATTTAAACATTTTTAAATAATATCAAAGTTATTAATACGGAATTTAAATGTCTGTTAATCACATATTGTTTAAGCTTAACTAAATGAAATTTTTAGAAATTTTAGAAATTTTAGAATAACAATTACAAACATATTTTTTCGACCTTTTTTCCATTATAAACCAGAAAAACTATTTTAGATCGTAAAATAATCTTACCATATGTTACGAGTAATATCAAACAGAAAACCTTCATTTTTTTTACTCCTAAAACAGAATGAATAATAATCAAGTATACTTATTATGTAATATAACCTATAAACATTATTTGTCTCATACATAAGTACATTAAAATATCAAAAAGAAACCGGAGTGAATTTATTTATTCATAACCAGGGTTATTAATTATTGTGTTTTTATTTTTAACAATAAAAAACTTTTTATTTTTAATAGTACATTTTTAGCTTCGATGCGAAGCTGAGAAGGTATTGGTTTTACTATGATGTGTTTTTTTTTTTTTTTTT